AGTTGCACATCCCAACTACCTGATAAAATAATATATAAACTATTTGCAGCCACCTTTTCTATATTACCTTAAAATCTATGTACAATAAAATTCTATATTTTTTTCTATGTTTGAGTCCACAAATATGTTTATTTATTTATATTTATTTCTTTTAACATGAACATTAACATGAATAGAAAGCCTTCAGTTCGATTGGACAGGATATTCTAAGTTAGACAAAGTGATTTAACTACTCCATAATACACGTTTTTTATGGAATTCCGTCTCGGTTCTCGCAACTGTCATTTCTAAAATAACTTGTAGTTATTTCTTGATATTTTATAAACCAAAGCCAAAGGAAAGGAAAATAAAACCAGTATCGTATTAACGACGATAACTATTATTTCAGTTATTTTTTATACGTTTCTGTAGCTTATTTAGGATACAGCTATAAAACAAGATCTTATAATCAACGATTTGTATACAAACCAAAATAGTCGTGCAAAATACTATCATTAGGTTTTTTTCGAAGGATATTTTGAATTTCTATCCTGATTGGTATTTCGCGATTAAAAAGTTCACAGCAAGAGAAAACTAAGGCTCATGCCTCCCGGTAAACCTTATTTGCTTATAGGCCATGTACATAGGCCATGCTTATAGGTCAGTACACAACTGCCAACATTTCTCTCTCAACTTACCCCCATTTACTGAACTTTGAAGTTATCGAACATCATTTAGTAAGAAATTATTACAAATTATTGGTTTATCAGACAAACCTAACATTTCTTTAGCCGAAATATATATTTGTATTTCAATTCTATGGTATAATATACCCTTTTGTGTTTTAAAAATCCTCAGTCTTAGAAAGGAAATTAACAGAAGTTAATTTTTGTCCGAAAGACCATTGCATAGATATGTAGGTATTTTTACAGTGGTTCGCTCTAAATATGTGGAACTCTTTAAAAATTCCCTGTCTGTTCGTTCCACGTTATTTTAGTGAAATTAAAACCACATGCAATTATTTCCGTAAACATTCACATATATAAGTATACATAATTAACAAACAACCCAGAAATTGTATTTTTTTATTCTTCATCTTGGCTGAACGTGATATTGTCACTTCACATTCGTCTTAGATGTTTTTGCAATCGGCACGTATTCAAAGATACTGAATATTTTTATAAATATCTAAAAATTATTTGTTTATAGACCAGTTGAGTTGCTATTTGTCAAATCAGAGGTACGACTACCAAACATATAAACGGATATGATTTATACAAGGGTCAAATTTACGACATGTATTTTTGTAGTGGGTAAGTAAAGTGAGATTATTCGTTGTCTTCAATATGTCAATATTAGGTATTAAAGTTTTCTAACTTAAAAACAGATGCTAATGAATTGCTTCTATTTAATTTTCAGTACTTTCAACAGTAGTATTTGCTCAACCCGGTTTAAAATTACGAGAAAAACTAGCGAAAATATTGATGGATCCCGAATTCGATCATTTGGATAATGAAATTTCACGAGAAGATAACCGATTGATACAAAATGGACCATTTGTTCGCCAGGGAATGTTACTTAGAAATCGGGTACCTGAAATATTGCCACGTTTTAAGAATCGCAAGAATGCCTTTTCCATTTTTGATATGGCGAAATCGGGTGATTCGGAAAGCCACGAGAGTGAGGAAATCTCAACAACTACAACGATAACAACTGCGGCACCAGATAACACCCGAAATGTTGTGTTAGTTGGTATGGCCCCACTAAAAACCCTAATGAATCGCCTAATGGAAATGTGGAGTGGATAAGCAAGCCGCATTTATATTACATACATACATATGTATGTAATATATCTGAGCATTAACTTATTTAAGGGACCCCCCCCCCCCCCCATTCTCGATTTTAATTTTTCAAGATTTTCAATGGGCTGGTAAATCAATACCAATGCTTGTTAAGGTTTGTAACTTCACACATATATAATTGAAGATTTAAAATAGAAGAAAAATAATTTACAAAAAATTTTTGTTGTTGTTTTGTTGTTGTTTTTTGTAATTAAAGAAAAGTCCTTATTTTTGATGGCGGGCATGATAACTCCTCACTGGAACATCGGAATCCGAAAATTCCAACGGTGTTAGAAAGAGTACATGTCTGGCTCTCGTATGAACTAGGATTATTGACTTCGCTCTAAAATTAACAAAATGGTGGACCTTTGAAAAAATATTTTTGGAAAATCGCCGATTTTTTACAAAACCCAAGTTAAAAAATAAGGAAGATTTTGGCTTTATCCTAGTTCATACGAGAGCTATACACTCACAGAGAAACGTGTAAAAATTTGAAATCGATTGGGTTATTAGTTTTTGAGTTATCGTGCCCGCCATTCGCAAAAAAATGTTTAGAGAAAAACGCGTTTAAAGTTTGAGAAGCCCTTCAGCCGTCACTTGATGCTGACACAATAAATCGGCTATATCTTCAAGAGTTCTTGAGATTTTAAATTTTGTAGGGACATTCTTTAATTAGTGTAGATTCGAATTATATCAACAAAATTTTTGACCCCGAGAATGGGGGGGGGGTCCCCTTAATCCACTAATTATAATTTATGTAACATGAATGAGCAAATACAAAACATTTTTTGTTGCATAGTATTTATTTGGATATAAAATCAATAAATTTTTTAACCTCTAAAATTTGTTGGTATTGCCCCCGAATTAACAAATTTTCAATACTTCTGACAATTCTATAAAATAAAAGGTATTTTAACTGAAACGTTTTCAATTGGAGTAATGTTTCAAAATCAAGGAATTGCTGCTTAACATTTTTGGTTCGTCGTGAAAAGTGAAAAGTGTCTGTACACAAATTGAATTTGCTTCAAACCTCTTAAAAAAAATGATATGGGATAGTATATTCGAAACCGCTTATAACGGCGGTTAAATTTGGTCTTAAATATTATTTAAATAATTAAATATGGTTGATATATATTCTTTTGATATGTAAATAATTAAATAAATTCAATTGTTGTAGAAAGAATGAAAAAATAATGGGAAATTATATATGGGAAATTACAAAATTCTTTTAAAATACCATTAAAAACAATTTGAAATTTTTTTTGCGAGCACATTTATGATTTTTGGTACATAGGTTAAGAAAAATATGCTGATTCGAAATCTGTTCGCGTTCACAAATTCGGATGCTGCGCACAAAAGTTATAGCGGTTTTAAATCTTGTATTTCAAATGTAAATTAAATGAATTCCTATTTGTTGTAGTTCGCGAATTTCTTCACAAATGGGTAAACACATTTGTTTTCTTTGCACACTAGTCAAATCACATTGAAATACGGTTCAATAGTCGCGAAAAACAAATAGAAGCATATCTTCATGCTGAAAATAAAATAAATTAATAAAGCGCTTATTTGAAATTTCGATTTTTTGTGTAGATAAGTTAATGCGGTTTTGCCTTAATAATCTAAAATATATGACGCTTTGTTCTGAAAATTCATTTAGATGATTTTTAAAGATCGGTACTTTCATCTGATAAGAGTTTCGGCGTTAAAAATAACTAAATATATTGCACTTACAGCACATATAAATGGTCAATATTGAAAAGCATGCAATTCGCGTATTTGTAAAAATAAGTTGTTGCGCATGCGGTTTTCGTATAAACCGAATCAATCTCTTCCAATAATTATGCATTTTTCGAGGTTTCATTAAGCGGCCAAAGTGTGCCACTCGATGCACTTTACTATGCAAAAACCCTAAAAATGACAAAAAATGGCGCAACGTGCATACGATTTTTATGCGCATCCGATTTCAGTAATCTCATATGAAAATACACAAAAGGACACCTATTTTAAAAAGATCGGTTAAGAACCGCGGATGTGCTTCCACAATCGATTTTGGATAAAATACGCATGTTATTCGCGTATCGATATATTTTTGAACTATTTTCACACAGATTCGCGAATATGATAACACAAGAATGAATGTATGTGAAATCAATTGGAAGAAAAAACGCGATTATATACGTGAATTTGTCAAAATAAGTTGCTGCTGTTTTTCCCACATTCAAGGTACCTATATCCGTCGTTTTATTGGGAGAAATTTGAATGGACTTCCTTAATTTTAGATTAAAAAAATATGTTTTTTTTTATAAAAATTTACGCACCCAATTGCAAAATAGCTACGGTGAGCACATTCATGAGATATATACTAAACGAAGCAAAATCACGAGTTATACAATCATATAATTAGTTTAGTCCATTATGTGGATGCGTGTCCTAATTATATGAAAAATTCAAAAAACACCGAAAATCCGGCTTCAAAATGTCCATTTTGGGTGGATGCAGTGATTATATCGAAAAATCATACATTAGAACCAAATTGTCCATGGGGTATTCTGCAACTTAGTCACTGATCACATGTGCGTGTGTTGTGTAGTTTAGCCACAAATCAGGAAGGAACACAAAAAAACTCGTTGGCTTCAACACATTTTCACTCATTTTTGTACATTCCACGCAACTTATTATTTATTACCAATATTTTTAGATTTTGACAAGAACACTTCATTTTATAGAAATGTATTGATATTATATGCAATATGTTCATATTTCGCGAGTTATAAGCTTGCAAACCTCAGTTTCAAGGAATTTAAAAGATTTTTTAATTTCCCATATGTATATACATATAGCATTTTTGAATAATAGAACAAAATTTGAATATCTTGCCAAAAGGTCGTTTAAGCGATTTGTCGTTTGTTTGTGGATTTCGTTGTTATAGCCGATATGTCGTAATAAAAGATTTCGACTGTATATGTAAAAGCTGACTTCATTACGTCCCGTCCAAAAAGAAAGGAAAGAACAATAATGTGTTTTTAAAGCAAATTAATTTAATTGTCGAAGTGCTCTTTTTCGAACGTAAGCATCAGACACTTATATAACCAAACATTTAATAATATCGACTGCACAGATTTGAATATTCCATATTCCCTGTATTGCATTAAATTCAAATGCATCCATCTTTAGGTGATACTAATATTTTTCATGTCCAAAAAATATGGTCCAGCGTTCATATTCTCCTTCACATAGATACGTATCCATCATACAATAGACATTGCTGTAATCCGTAAGATCTAATAAGAAATAAGCATTTACAAAAGGCACTTCGATATAGACTCATAGTTTTGTGTCGGTTATACTTTTTCCTTGTACACAGGCAGCTATGTCCAAGTGGCATTTGCTTGAATACTGACGTATGCATCGGTTTGCCTCGTCAAGTAGACATACAGGTTCTGTAGAGGTACTATTTCCACAGCTTGAAATCGGAGCACATTTAGAGACAGGTACTGCTAAAATCTGAGAATACAAAATTGCTTCCGGTTTGGGATAGAATTCAAATTATTTCATCAATGATAATAATAGTTATTATTTTTCTAATGTTTTACCTATTAATACACAAAGCAAAGTAACATTATGTTTTAACATTTTACTGCAAATTACTGTTCAATTCGTTTCCGTTCAATGTCTGCGGCGCAACTAAATAAAAAAAATTCAAAAACGACTTGTTGTAAATGCACCTTATCAGGAGAAATTATCTTGTATACGCTTATTTTCTCAAATAGAAGTATTGTCGCATTGGAACATACTTATGACCAAATAAATATTATTGCTCAATGTATATATATACATGTAGAATCAATCTATTTTCTTAAACATTTAAAAGTTTTCTTTGCGTGCAGCCGCATACAGAAATCTTATCAAAATTGATAAATGTGGGTATTTGTTTATCTTAACTTTATCTTTTGTTTGCTCCAAAAGCTTTTCTATGTAAACATCTTAAAAAATAAAACATTTAGCTGTGCGAATATTGTATTGAAACAATTTCAAATGTTAAACATTCCATTCGAGACACTTTTGATTGTTATTTAATTTTGATTCAAATGCATCAAAATAATCCATTAAACAATAAACACAATTTTATTTCTATTCACTACTATTACTACTATATTAATATTTGGATTATAGTTTATTAACCTCTCTTTTCACAAAAACTCAAAACCCGTACCTGGTTCTTTATTGAAATGGACATTATCCACAAAAAGCTCAATTAAATCCGATATATTTCCAAAAGTATTTTTTTAATTTCCTGTTTTGGTATTCCGGAACCTAAAAACCGTAAGGATCGCCGGTAGCCTTACCAATAAAATTACAGAAATAAAGATTTTTTTAGAACATTGTAAAAATGTTCAACTTCGGATGTGTTATTTCTTTTACAAAAATATTTACTCAGTAAGTTCGTTTTTAGAGAGTATAAAATCAAGTAAGATTTTTCTAAATATAAGTGGAGTGGTTCGTAATCTTTTTCACTTAAAAGGCTTGATCATATAAGCGCGAAAGTAAAACTATTCCTGTAGGCCTCTTCTAACAAACAACGAAGAGAACTGATGAGAATCAGTGGAGAGATCCGAAACTATAGTTTTACCTGCCTTATCCCTTGGTGGACAATGTCATACTTTTCCCACTAATAAATAGTTATTTTTATAAAAACAAGAAAAATACATTAAGTCTGACTGTTTTGCAAAAAAATTATATTTAACTATATACGTCATCGTTAAATTATTATTTAATATAAAAGCATTAAGAATTGTCAACCAATTTAGCTGATGAGCATTAAAACAATGCTAGATACCTTTATTATTAGCATTGTATTTACTACAATGTTAATGCTATAATAAATAATCAATTTATGCGGATAGTGGTGCATAATGTGGACATTTCAAGAAAACGAATCACAATTTTTTAAACATTGTCATCTTCGCTGTATGTTCTATTACCTATAAGTAGTATAAGTAGAAGTTGTAACTCTAGCCGATATTCTCTTTAACTAGACTGCTTCCTATTTTTTGTTTAAGAAGTCTCTTTTAATGTAGATATTTATACAAATATTTTTATTTTGATGAGTTGTCTTAACTGCATTATACTTGCTCGTATCAATTGTGTAGTACATACATTGTTGTATTGAAGTTCATAAATACATAAATATAAAAGGATTTTTTAGTATTTTTTCCACCAACACATTAATTAGCGGCAGAATTCAAAATATTAGGAAGTTCACCTTCAATTCGCTCACGTATCAGTTGACCACGATTTTTTTGAATTAATTCCTTTACGTTGTAGAACCATTCTCCTGTAAAAGAAAGACAGACAATCAACATGTTACCCTTGCATAAAACACTTTTAACAACCTATACTTGTATTTTGCACACAATCTTTGAATGCTTGACAGCCCTCCATGCTGCTAAGAACACCAAAAACGGAGAGATCGGCCAAATTTGGTTCTTTGCCACCCATAAATTTGCTGTTGCGTTTTTCTAATTCTTTGGTCCATTTATTGCAGGCGTCGTATATATGTGATCTTACATCGTCCGACAATTGATGTCTCTTTTTAAGAATTTTAGCAATTCCCCACATTGCTGTAGCGCCTGCATATACCATCAGATTACGTTCCCAATGTGGGAAATGTATATCCCATTCTCCAGCTTGTGAGAACCATTCAAATGTTTCAAATGCTTCATCCAATGTTTGATAACAATTCGGAGATATAAGATGGACAAGGTGAGAGTCCGCCCAAGTGCGCCATTTACGTTCGAGTCTACAATAGAAATAGAATGTGGCGATACCCAAAGCGAGATGTACAATATAACAATAAAATGAATACAGTAAAAAATCACCAAATGAATTACTATTTTTTCAAATAGTAATGGATTATCAATCATGGTACAATAATAAAAATACTCCTTCATGGTACAATTATAAAAGGTAACAGCAAATCCCAGCTGATTTGATTCCAACGTAATACTAGTGTCAATATGAATTTGACAAATTATGTTTTTAAAAATCACCCAACAGGAAAATTGGGAACGCATACAATTTGAAATTGTTCTTTATTAATGTGCTCCCGTATTCAATTTACACAATCTGCCTGCTGGGAAAATTTGAGGAAGCAAATCTTTCTTGAAGGAATTACTCGCTATTCCCAGCATTGTCATATGTGTTACACATATATATGACAATGGCTCAATTAAAGGAAAGATGTGGAAGCGATAGAAATATAAATTTGATAGATTTTCATTCATGTTTTTCAATTTTCGAAAATATTCCATTTTCAAAATAAAAATAATTTGATGAAAATTTGTTTGTTTACATTTTTCTGTCAAATGAGTTGACACTAGTAGACAACAAACACAACAACAAATTTCCATGTGGTTGTTGTATCGTTTTTTGTACAACAACACTTGCTGTTACCTTCTATTATTATACCATGGATACTCCTTTAGAGTTTTGCCCGATTTCTATGAATATTACCATGTGAATTATATTTAATAGATATTTTATTTAGTTTTGAAATATATAAAAATGGGAAACTTTTCTGTTATCTCATAGGTAACACCAATCTTACTTTTTTGTGTTTTAAGTTATTGACCCGCCTCCCGATGGTCACCAATCTTACTTCTTAATGTATTTTTATGACACATAATTTAAAAAAAAAATATTTACTGTCAACGAAAATCATGGTAATATTTTAACAAATTTTGAATATGTTTTTTTTTTACTTATTCCGAAACAATGTCAACCCACAAAATATACAAATTACATTGCAGAATTGCAATCGCAATCTGAAAAATTGTGGACATACAATTGATGTACACTACCATTTTATTGCACCATGCTAGAAATGATGAGCGATAACTTCTTGACAAATACAAAAGGATGGCCATCATTCATATATATATATAGCATTTCCACATTAAATGAAACCTTTTACAAATTAAATGAACCCTTTTCCAAAGTAAATGAAACCTTTTCCAAATTAAATGAAACCTTTTCCAAATTAAATGAAACCTTTTCCAAATTAAATGAAACCTTTTCCAATTGAAATGAAACCTTTTCCAAATTAAATGAAACCTTTTCCAATTGAAATGAAACCTTTTACAAATTGAATGAAACTTTTTCCAAATTAAATGAAACCTTTATTCTTATCCAAGGAAATATAATATTTCCAGTAATTTTAAATCAATATTTGAAAATTAAATCAAAGAATATTAACAACTATAGTTGTATGGCTATGTAATTAACATAAATATTCTCTAATTCGGTGTGATTTTATTTTATATCTTTACTTAATAAAACTAAAAAATAGTAATACAAACTGGGGTATTTCTTGACATTTTTAACAAGGTAACTGCTTATCTTAATGAAGAGGTTCCCGACTTGCATGTCCATAACGTAGTTAGAATTATCTTGCCGAGTAAGCTGTTGAATACTTCGCTCGATTATATCAACAATGTTATGTTCCATTGAAACGTCACACAGCTCAGCTCTTGTACATAATTTTATTTTTAAAAATGCTTTTTCGATTGGGTTTACCATTGGAGAATAAGGCGGTAAGAATTTAAGGTTGCATCTTTTGGATTCGATCAAATTTTTTATGTCATGTCGCTTGTGTATTTGAGCGTTATCCATTATCAAGCACGAATTTTCCAACTCTAGATTGATTTCCTCCAAAAGACTTTCTATAAATAATTTAAATCTGTCTGCATTGACACTGGAATTAGAAATTATTGTGTGAATGGGGTATCCCCAATATTCATTAATCGTTGTTGGGGTATCCATTTTGTAAAGTCTTGAGCATATTTTTGTCTCAAACCTAATGTTCTGGAGTCATTCATTCGTTCTATTTCACTAGAGGCCATCTTCAACGTAATTTTTAATTTCCGTAATCCATTTTCTATGGAGCTTGTGGAAATATTTATATCATTTTATCTCAACAGTTTAGTTTTTATGCCTTTGAGGGTAATTCCAGGTTGACTTTCTAGATATAACTCGATCAGACTTAAAACTTTCCTCCACGCTTATTTTCCTTCAAAAATTTCTTTTTGTATCTTCTTATTAATGCTTTTGCTGAACTTATTTTTATGCAGGTTAAATTTGCAGTCTCGGAAATTGTTCTACCCTCTTCATACAATTTACATAATAAAAATTTCATGTCTTTTATTATTTTGTTATACTGACCCAATTTGTTTCGGGGTCTTGTAGATGTAGCTTCGATAGGTTCTGGAGCATTGCCACTTGCAATACTTGGCGAGGTTATAGATTCTTCTTCAGGTTCCGAGCTAAAATCAGGTTAGCTCATAATTATTTAATTGTGAATGGCTACCTATACAAAACTCTACTAAATGAAAGACTCCAGAACATTAGGCTTGAGTCAAAAATATGCTCAAGACTTTACAAAATGGATACCCCAACAACTATCAATGAATATTGGGGATACCCCAATCACACAATCATTTCTAATTCCAGTGTCAATGCAGACAGATTTAAATTATTTATAGAAAGTCTTTTGAAGGAAATCAATCCAGAGTTGGAAAATCGTCTTGATAATCGATAACGCTCAAATACACAAGCGACATGACATAAAAAATTTGATCGAATCCAAAAGATTGAACCCTAAATTCTTACCGCCTTATTCTCCAATGGTAAACCCAATCGAAAAAGCATTTTTAAAAATAAAATTATGTACAAGAGCTGAGCTGTGTGACGTTTCAATGGAACATACCATTGTTGATGTAATCGAGCGAAGTATTCAACAGCTTACTCGGCAAGATAATTCGAACTACGTTATGGACATGCAAGTCGGGAACCTCTTCATTAAGATAAGCAGTTACCTTGTCAAAAATGTCAAGAAATACCCCAGTTTGTATTACTATTTTTTAGTTTTATTAAGTAAAGATATAAAATAAAATCACACCGAATTAGAGAATATTTATGTTAATTACATAGCCATACAACTATAGTTGTTAATATTCTTTGATTTAATTTTCAAATATTGATTTAAAATTACTGGAAATATTATATTTCCTTGGATAAGAATAAAGGTTTCATTTAATTTGGAAAAAGTTTCATTCTATTTGTAGAAGGTTTCATTTCAATTGGAAAAGGTTTCATTTAATTTGGAAAAGGTTTCATTTCAATTGGAAAAGGTTTCATTTAATTTGGAAAAGGTTTCATTTAATTTGGAAAAGGTTTCATTTAATTTGGAAAAGGGTTCATTTAATTTGTAAAAGGTTTCATTTAATGTGGAAATGCTATATATATATATATATATATATATAAAAAATGGGGAATATAGGCGGGATTAAATTATTTACAATGGCTCGTGAATACTTCAATCGCGGCTATATTCCCCATTTTTTGAAAATGAAATAGTGTTAATACATACTCTTCAGTATCCTTTGAATGACCTTTAGGGGTTTGATCACGATACATAAGGAAGTATTTGTTCATAATATCGTGCTTCTTTTTCTGATTGTCGTCAAAAAACGATATAGTGGGGTAGAACTGTGCCAGTTCGCCAATATCCGCACTTTTATCATTCAAATATGTCGCAATCAAAGATATTATTGCACTGGAGTCCGTCATCTGTACGTAACGACCATCTCTTTGCCTTATCAGAACCATTGGAACTTTTTTTTGGTCGGACCACTTAATGTCCTGGCGTAGAACCGCATCAACTTCTACGACTTTATATGAAATTCCCATATAATCTAGGAATGCCCTCACTTTGCAGCAAAACGGACACGTCTGAAATTGGAATAGGGTTACATCTAACCCCGAATTATCCTTGGGATTGACAAATTTCTTGGTTATCTTGACATTAGAGGGAAATTCGGTTATTACAGCCGGCGCAGATCGTTCATGTTCCTTATGTGAATTGCCGTCCTTCCAATTACTATATAAAGAGTAAACTGTGCCTCCAGTAGCACCTAATGTCGAGCCCAAAATCGCTAACTTTAGTGTACTCGGGCCAACAGTACGCTTTGGTGGAGCTGTTGCCAATTGTCGGCGAACGATGTTACGTGATATGTCGGCATACTGTTTGGAGTTCTTCAAATAAAACAAATGTCGCACGGGGGCACAATTAACTCGTTGCATCGACATGACTAGATGACAACTCGGATCAAGTTTAAAATTATATTTTTACGAATACTTGTAAAGCCTTCCCGGTCTTGGAAAAGTCGTAACTTTTTTCCCTAAGGTATTTTGGCAAGTCGTATCTTTGTTTCGGTTTAGATTCGTTCCAGAACGAACTTTTTCAAATGAGGTATTCACACAAAACAACTATGTGAACTAGATACAATTATTATTCAAGCCATATGTAAATCTTCGTTGGCTTCTTAGTGGAATTTGTACGGCAAAAACTAAATAACTCGAGAACTTAATAAAAACTTTAAAGATGTTATGGAAAGCACATCGAAAGATCCCCGGTAACTTTTTATTTGAAGCTAATAACTCATAACCAACTATACTCCTCTTCATATTGGAACTAGTTCACATTCACAGTTCAGTTCATTCAGGTCAATTGAATTTACACATCCTTGTGAGAGTATAAACAATTCTTATTCCCATGGAATCGGCTAAATTGGATAAATACGTGGACGATGATGTCTTTAGTTCCATTTTAAAGTGGGGTTTATACTTTGGAGCATTTTTCCAGTTAACATGTATATTAGCTTCGATTTTCCTGCCGAATACATCCCATCATAACAAAGATGATGCACCAGAGGTATTGTTATTTATTAGAACTGATTTCGATTGGATCAAAAATTTTGTTTTCTTACAGGATTCTAAAACGATTGGAGGCGAGTCACAACCAATTAATCGTAGATTGCACAAAATTAGGAAACAAGAAAAAAAGAAAAGGCGTTAACTATGCATTATAACCATCTTGATGTTAAGAATTAATTTTGCGAAAAGAATCCATACATTTCTAATTTAAGCCCAATGTAATCTAATTTCTTATTAAATACACAGAACATCAATATACTTTGTTTAATTTAAAAATGTGCAGTCAGGCAGATGTAGTATAAAAAATATCTATAACCGTATACAGAAATGACTACACTTCGTTTCGGTATACACATTGTGGATACGTGGATAGTACCCCGGCAACAAAATTAGGCATAGTAACGTATGGTAACCAAAATAGTAGTATAGTAGGTATACGTCTAGTTAAAATTTCCGTATACTTCATTGAGTTAGTATTCATACAATAACTAATTTACACAAATCCTAAATACAAATTTATATATTTTAATATTTGAGATATGGCATATCAGTCTCTGTTAGTTTTGGAGAAACCACTTCAGCATCTGTCACTCTCAGACTGGAATAGCCGAGTCAATAAATTGCGCAATGTTGCGGATGCTAGACGTAATGATGCATTTAGTATTCGTCAAGGTTCTAAAACGTTAAGAAACGAGGTTCGCATTGAAGCCGATTGGACCAATTTTGAATCCAATGAAGCATTAGCTCAACGGTCAGTATGATTCCTTTGTAGACGATTTGCAATGCCGGTGATGATGTATTATACGAAATAACATATTTAACAACGTTATATTACTTTTGTTCCAACAGTATTTCTGAGATAAATCAATGGCGTAGTTCAATAAAACTTACCCTAGAACGCATTGAACGGGAAATGAAACTCTTAAGCGAAGAAAAAGCTGCTACAGAACGTGAACTGGAGGCCATGCAAACACCTATTTCTATCATTGGAGAATGTCTAACAATGAGAGATTGCCGCCTGGGAGCCGAAATTACATACGATGACGCGGATACGGAAATTAAAAACGAATTAACCATAGTTGAAAACAATCAACGACTTTTAGCATCACAGTGTCAAAAAGCCTGGGAGAAATTATCGCGATTAGAGGAAGTGAAATTCAAATTAAATCTGGAGGTGACAAACAAAGCTGAAGCGGAAGAGTTGGATATGCATCAGCTACAATTGGATAAGTTTGCAGCAAATATATCATACAAACCAGATCCAACTAGGAATCCCAAAAAGTATATTGCATTCTTTTTATTATATATATATATATATATAATCGCTTACAAATGTATATGATTACACCCAATACCCTACACCAAACAGTGACTACTATTGTCTTTGTGCAGACAATAATAGCCACTGTGCTCACTTTCTTAGTCGATTTAGGAATATTCGTCCATCTGTTACTGAATTTTTTCATATTAAATTTCATATAGGACAAAATAGTGCATCTGAGTAGATTTGCTCACGCATGCATTCTCATCCTAAATTTTAGCGATCAATACGATCAGCACAAGCTGCAGAATCGAGATTAAAAAACCAGTGAGCGGAGCAGTATAGTCGGACGGGGCCGACCATACGATACCCTACACAACTACCTCGAACTCTAACTTTCTGAGGATGTTTATTCCGAGTCTGAGTAATATTTCGTGATATTTGCCCCCTCTTGCCCGATTAGAGGTCAACAACACCTCTTCCTTACTTTTTCGAATATTCAGTACAGTCCTTCTAATTACGTGTCCAGATTACCTTCACGGTGGGTTGTGTTGTGATTTTCGGATCATACTCGGCTCGAAAACACACAAAAAATTAAGTTTTCGGTCCATTTCATCCTAAAATTGTAATCTGATCATCACCGAAAATTTTAGGCGTTGTTCGTGACCATAACTGGAACTTCATGAAAAATTTTAAAGCCATCAGCGCGATATTTCCCCCTCTAATGTGGTAATGGGTTACTAAATAATATCTAAATACGTAAGCACCTGTAAATATTTGACTGTAACTCCAACATCTGAGTAGATACATCACTATATTTGGTATCAATTTAAAGGCCAACCACTCCTCTTGGATATGCTATCAACTCCTCGGATCTACATCCTCCAGGAGTAAATATATATGCCATAGAATACAAATTTTGTCATTTTTCACGCAAAAGTCAGGGTCCATTTGACCCGCTAAATATTGACCGATCTTTACCAAAACATGCACGCTTATTCTCTGGCCCGATCCCCTTCTCCGTGCAAAAATTCGCGGTGTTTGGGCCATAATTGCGGCCTCTGGGGCGACCAGAAAAACCGACAAAAATAATGTTTTTGGTCCATTTCATCCCCTAAATATTAATCGATCTTTTCCAAAAACAATAGGGGTCTTCATTGGCCAGAACCCATCCTACATGCAAAATTTCGTGAAGATTGGTCCATAACTGTGGCCTGTATCGTGTTTACAAATTATAATGGACAGACGGACGGACGGACACACATGTCTAGATCGACTCAGCTAGTCGAGATATGACGATCGGTATACTTAAAGGTGGGTCTAGGACCAATATTTCGCGGCGTTACAAACTTTTGGGGCTGCACAAAGCTTTAATACCCTGACAACATAGTTGTGTAGGGTATAATCATATCCGCTTAAATAAAATTGATTAGTTAGCCCCGAATTACTAAATGTTTTTTATATTATTATTATTTTCAAGCTATTGTTCCTATCAATCCTGGAAAGAACACACAATGCAAATGAAACAACTCGCCGAAAACGAACTCGCTGACACCTATGCCATAAGGGAGGCTTTGTTTGTATGTAGGGAAAAGGCCCGAAATATGCTTTCGTCCCAACAAGAGAGAACTGAGCACACAATTAGAAAACGTATTTTTGAAACACAAAGAGCAAGAAATGAATTGCAATGGCAACAAATGAAAGTAAGTAGGCAATTATCACTTCTATTTCTGAAATTTTACATTCCTTGTTGCAATAGATGAAAGAAGAAATGCAAAAGACAGAGTGTGAAATAAAAACTTTGGAACAGTCTTTACGGGACAAGACGGATGGATGCAAACTGGCCGAAACACGCTTAGAAAATAGAGCGCAACGCTCTGGAATGGAACTTTGCTTGGACGACGCACATGAACAATTGTGTTTGGAGGTTACAAAACTTCGAGACATTCGTAGACAATTGATAGACAAAATTGAAGAAGCTAAAACTAACTTTAATTATCTACAAGATCATGCTCAAAAAATCGACGTCGAATTGGAAAACAAGCAACATTCTTTAATGACTGACATCAGAGCACTTGAATTACGTCAGCGTCTCAAGTTTTCTGAATTCGCACAAACCGACTCAACTTCGGCTCAGACTGATCGTAATATTGTTTTAACAAAAATGGAAAAAGAAATTCCTAAAAATTAAAGTTCGATATGTTCGCAACATAGTTTTTTAAAGTAATTCTAATAAAAACGACTAATATTTGGGAGAACTGTCATTCAAAACAATATCTATTTCTTAAGAGTAAGAGATATTTAATAAGGTGTACGTGATAATGCATATACGAATGGTCATATTAAGTCATGGCCCATTAATATGAATGGGTTGTACAAAACATTACTGAGTAAATTTTTCCAGTAGGATTTTTCAATACTCGGCAATACAAAATTCGAATAAGCTCTCTCAATTCACCTTTTTTACTGAAGTTTTGTGTAAAAAGGCAACATCTAATAACATTTTGTAACAATTGTTACAAAACATCAAGTACACAGAAATACTTTATATAAAAATGTATCAAAAACCATAACCTTTTAGAAAAAATAAAACCATAAATGGAAAGTAATTATTCTTAGGTTCTAACCATGGTACAATTATTCGTGGTAGGCCATAGCAACTTTTATATTACAATTTTTTCATACTGTGGCTTGTTATGCCAAAGTCATATACAAAATATATTCGAAAATCGATTTGATTTTTAAAGATGTATTTTAGAATATTTGTAAGAAGAAATGCATGGTTTATTGATGAATCAACATGTAAATCATATCCCCAACTCGTTTTTGGAAAGAAAACCTGACATTCCATTAATTTTTTGCGTTAGTTATTGGCCTTAAATTGCTACACATACATTTGATTTCATACTCTGGGTTTATACATGTAACTTTTACAAACAAAAGTGACAAGGGGGAAGAACTTCAAAAGAGAATCGTAAAGAGCTGCAGCTGAGTTGCGTAAAAAAGATGCCTGTGTATACCCGGAGATACTGAATTTTACTGGATGTTGTTCCATATTTTTTTTCAATATATATCTCATTACTATCAGAAAATAACTTACTGAGTAATTATTACAGGAAAAGTTCGCAGATAAACCTTTTTTAATTTTTTGATACACATGTTTAAAATTGTCGATATTCATACACCTTTTTCAAGTGTTATTCAAAGAATTTTACGTTGAGATTTGATGATTTAAGCAATTCATCCATTTTATTAAATTCCTGACGTTCCATTTGTAATTCATAAAACCTTATTGGAAATTCATAACATTTAATTTCAAACTCAAATTATTCAATTTCGAAATTATAATTATTAAATTTTGTTTTTTTCAAAATAGTCAGGCTGAATCCCAGTTTGTTGTTTTTATAAAAAACAACTATTTATTAGTGAGGAATGTATGGCATTGTCCGCCGAGGGGTAAGGCAGGGAAGACTATAGTTTCAGATCTCGCCACTAATCCTCATCAGTTCCCTTAGTTTTTTGTTGGGATATTCTCCCCAGAAGCTATTTATTGCTTCTTTACAAAAACCCTTTCATACCCAAATGTCTCTTTTGACAATTCGAAGTTCTTACGTTACCAGCGATACGACCTCAATGAGAAGCTCGTTTTGTTGGCGCCTGACTTCTTGGTCAACAAGGCATTTGCAGACAACTACAATACATTTCCCACTGCTATGTGTCGTCACAAAGTCTTCCCTGCCTTACCCCTCGGCGGACAACGTCATACATTCCCCACTAATAAATAGTTGTTTTTTATAAAAACAACAAACTGGGATTCAGCCTGACTATTTTGCAAAAACAAAATGCAAATGGTATCCCAAATAACCCGCCAACAGTACTGAAATGTTATTAAATTGTAAATGAAATACTACGAATTACACAAATTTTGTTATGAATTACAAATAAAATGTTATTATTAAATTCCATATTTTATTATATTGAATCGCAATTAGAATTCTCAAATTAAAAAAAGAATAGTTAAAAACAAATAAAACATCCAAGAAGATATACCCATTCCCGCACTTAAATTTATTAAACAAACGAAACGCAAAATTTTAACACCCGACCACAAATATTACTATAATTATAACCTTTTTTCCTTGCGAAAAAAAAACGCCTGCGCTTGTGTATTTGTAAACAGCCAAAAATTCACAATTTCAACAATAAACACATTCACGAGTATAGAAACGCCATCACCGACATTCTGGAATGTAGGTGTTGGCCACTCGACCACATTTACATTATCCGAACTTCCGTATCACAAATCGAATATGTCGTTGCTCGTTTTGTTTTTTAACCACGGATTTCAACAATGCTCTGCACAATAATTACTAACTTTTCCTACAGTTTTGCTTCCAGTTGTTTGTTTGGGAAAATTCTACTAACGTTTGTTTCAATGAAAATAGTGGAATTGATTTTTAACAAACAACATGGTATAATTATTACAAGGTAGGGTACAGCTACCAACTGATTACAATTTTTTCTCAAAGTGGCTTGTTCCATCAAATCAAAATACATATTGTGTGTATGTATTGTTTTGAATACTATGTCAAATAAATTCAAAATAAATCGAAATATATTAAAATTTAATTGAAATGAAAATTATGTTTTTAACATGTTCGTCTGGAAGTAATTACTTTGTTATGGATGAAACGAACATTTGATGGTATTCCCTACTGGATTTTGGGAAGAAATCATAACCTTTCATTCATTTTTCGAGTTTTTGGTTTTGTGTTGAAAAAATGTCAAATAAATACAAACACTTGTTGCCTATATTTATTTTATTTTTGGCAGAAGAAGCCACACGTGCATAGTTGCTTTTTTGTTATTCACCTCAAGCTGTCCTACCTTGTATTATTGTACCATGACAAACAATTACATTTAGGAACAAATTTATACACAGTTTTGTTTTATTCACTTAACAAGCTTTATAGCAAAGATCGATCATCCAAAATTCGCAAACCGTTAACTTTGATAGTAGGTGTGTTAGGTTACTTTTCCAGTAACATTAATTCAGTATGTTCTAGTTCAGAGAGTAAGCTTTTTTGCACTTTTTATTTTTGTGAAAATAAAAAAAGCAAAATGTGAAAAAATACACTTCTCAAAAATGTTCTGAATTAGATTCGGACAGCAGCGAATTTAGCGGTCTAAACGTTCCAAAATATACGTTGATGCAATAATTTGTTATCAAAGCAAAAACATTGTTTTTGTGCCGACAATCTGTCAATTTGTTTCTAGAAATATTTCACATGATTGACAACATTGCACATAATTACCTATTTATTGGACCATGGTACAATAAGAAGAGGTAGGTGGATTGCTATTATACCTAGAATAATTGGTATTGGGGTATATCTGTATTTGGGCACTTTTGAGCCTGTAATTTGCTTTGTAATATGTAAAACATCTTTACTGAGTAATATACTGAGTAAATATTTCCGAACGAGTTTTAAAAATTCAGTAACAATATTATAGTACGTTTATATTGTACCGGATTTATTAAATACAGTAGATCTAAATTGTCAATTCTATTACAACGTTACCTAAAATCCGACGGAGCGTACAAAAATATTCAACTTCCCCACTATAGTGGCCTACACACGTCAAAAATGTGCGTTCGATCGGTGTGAATCGAAGCAATGTTTGACATGTGTGGTCGATCGAAAGAAATTAAAAATGTTTAATTTTTCGTTGTGCGACGCGCACATGTTTGACGTCTGTGGTCTGGTGTGTGGATATTTTCTCATTTGTTGCGAAATTTCGTGGAGTGCGGATCAGCGGACAATGTCAAACATATGCATTTGGAAGATTTTTTATGTTTTTTACACATATTTTTCTGTGTGGCAAATAAAAATGTTTTTCCCGGAATAAAATAAAAGTATTTAATACATTTATAATAAATAAAAATATTTGGTCTTTTTCCGAGATAATTATCGCGGTCCATCTTCACGCTTCAAAAATAAATACGAAATGAAGTTTTGTGGATCCGTTTGACGTGTGTGGGCTAGGAGCTTCACACCGATCGAACGCACATGTTTGACGTGTGTGGCCCGCTTATGGCAAAATGTTGTGTACGGCCGTATTACCCAAATACGTTGAATCCATATCTTCAAGCGAATAATACAAACCGCAAAATAAAATTGAAATTTTATTAAATTAATCCAAATATTTTAAGTTTTTACTCGAAATTTCATATTTCCTCAATGTTTTGTTTTTATTTTCAACAAAAGAAGAAATGAAAAATACGTTCTGTCAATGTTGAAATTGTTCAACTTGAAATTTTGTACGTTCGACGTATTTCGGTAACATTCATATAAATACATGTATTCTACTTTTGTGGTGAAAAACGTCGAACGAGCTAGTTGAATTTTATATATCTTCATCTAGGATCAGGAAATAAGTTTTAATAACAAAAACGAAAACACATTTTTATTAATTATAATGTCAAACTTATTTGTCGAACGAAAAATTATTATTATTGGCAAAAAGTCCAGTTAGAAACCATACAATGTTATTCAACGACGAAATTAAATCATTTTTATGATTTTCTATTTCACATTTAATAAGCACAATCTTGCAAAATCGAATTCACAAAGCCGGTAAAAAAAATTTTTCTTTTACTTTCTAATTTAGTTATTTGACAAAGTATACATTTTGAATGTATTCATACGTTTCAAAGTATAGTAAGATGGCGACCTTGTATTGGACCATCTCATTAGCACAATTTTCAAAATAGCTCTCTCAATTGAATTGATCCAATTTCCACACTTTTGTGTAAAGGATTGCATTTAGTAACATAGAATACAAATTGTTACAAAATATCAAGTACGAAGACAGACTTGATGATGCTGATGGTTAAATCCGTATTCTTTTCGTCAGTCGATGATAAAGATTATGATAAAGTCTCAGTTACGCTCTTGCACATGTACTCCTAATTTACTTCTGTGCAACATTGACTTAATGACTCCGCACCAAGGTAGATATACAAGGTAGCAGCATCTGCAAATTTCTACAACAAACATCGGTTGTTGCATGGTACAATAAAACAAGGTAGGGCAGCTTGAGGTGAATAACAAAAAAGCAACTGTGCTCATGTGGCCTCTTCTGCTAAAAATAAAATAAATATACGCAACAAGTGTTTGTGTTTATTTGACATTTTTTCAACACAAAACTAAAAACGCGAAAAATGAATGAAAGGTTATGATTTCTTCCCAAAATCCAGTAGGGAATACCATAAAATGTTTGTTTCATCCATAACAAAGTAATTATTTCCAGACGAACGTGTTAAAAACTTTATTTTCATTTCAATTAAACTTGAATATATTTCAATTTATTTTGAATTTATTTGACATTGTATTCAAAACATTACACACACATACACAAAATATGTATTTTGATTTGATGGAACAAGCCACCTAGAGAAAAAATTGTAATCAGTTGGTAGCTGTGCCCTACCTTGTAATAATTATACCATGGGTTGTTGTATTTTGATATGTCAAAAATATTTTGCCAAAACAAACAGATTCGCAAGTTTTTTTTACACAAATTCTTGTACAAAATTTAAATAAAAATGTTGCCAAACAAGCTCTTCGAAATTCGAAGATTTTCACAACAACATTTTTGACTTTTCTTTGCACCAACAGCCGGGCCGATGCCCGAGGTAGTCTTATTAAATATACCTTGCTCCGCACAATAATCGCGTTACACATTTTTCGCGTTATCGCATGCAGAATTTTATAATATTTTTAACTCCGAAATGCAACGCACATCAACTTCAAGCATTGACGTTATTGTCATCTTGTGCTTGCGGTACAAATATTAGCTCTTACGCTACGCCGGGCATTAGGTGTATGTTTGCAGCGTCTGCCACTTTTTTGCGAATGCAATCTCCATTTTGTTTAGCACATCTCGTACTAAAATTTCAAGTTCTGCAGCAATTATACATGGTTGGCTAAAACGTCAAAATTGGCAGAATAAACAAACTTTGTTAAGTATCAGTTTCGGTTGATTAGCAAGCACAATATTTAACAACAACAAAAACGGGAAAATGGCACAAAATATTAGCCCCGAACATAGCGGCCTATCAGGATCTCAGGGTGTTAAACATAATGATGATTCAGTGCCTATAAAAGATAATCACGCTGTTAGTAAAAGGTGAGAAGCACAAGCATTCCTTTGGAAGTACCAAACTAATATCTCTTTTGTTTTCAGGTTGCAAAAAGAATTGATGAGTCTTATGATGACCACAGAAAAGGGCATATCTGCCTTTCCAGACGGCGAAAATATATTCAAGTGGATCGGTACTATTGCTGGGCCTGTGAACACCGTTTATGCACAACAAAAGTACCGTTTGTCATTGGAATTCCCCAACTCATACCCCTACGCACCTCCTGTAGTCAAATTTTTGACCCCCTGTTTCCACCCAAACGTCGATCTACAGGGAGCAATATGTTTGGACATTTTGAAAGACAAATGGTCAGCTTTATATGACGTACGCACCATTTTGTTGTCCATACAATCGCTGTTGGGCGAGCCAAACAACGACAGTCCATTGAACGCTCAAGCCGCCATGATGTGGACTGACCAGAAAGAGTACAAAAAATACCTCGATGCTTTTTACGAAAAACATCAAGATACATAAATTATAGAAAACACATTTAGATCGTTTCTCATCCATCTCCCTATCCATCTTTGAAACTTTGTTCTACCGTTTAGTTTAATGTGTGTATGTGTGAATCAGTTATCAATCAACTGGTTATTCGAAATCCTCAATCATCAGCTTGTATGTAAATCGCTCGTTTTACCTTTTATGCATTATCACATCTAAGTTTTATTTAATCTGATGGTGGTGAAGTGAATTATAAGTATTGGAATTGTAAAACAACCCTATTCAAAATTGTCCTTTTATGTCATTAAAATCAATTACATACAAACTAAACATGAAGCATTACCAATAAAATATATATTTTAAGTTTATGTTAAAATATTCTTTTTATTTACATATTTAGAGTTCGAGAGCGAACGCCATTCGACAACTTACGGTGCAGTTGAAAGCCGATCATTCAGAATGTATTCATAAGAATCAAAATAATTTGTAATTAATGGAATTCTACGCAACAAGTTTATTTATCTGACTTTACACAACTTAGTTTTAAGCGTTTCTTGCTCAATTCTTTATATTCTTCAGATGGCAAGGTGTCGACACGGCCAACTGCATCTAAATCTCTACAGTTTTTGTCAACAAATTGCCTTGCTTTGGCATTAAATTGATCTATGTTACTTTTGTACAAATCCGCAGCATCGCCTTGTAGTGGATCATCAGGATTAGGATTCGCCAGCAATAGTTGAATTGATAACAAAATAGATTCGAGTGTAATTGCAGGGTTATATGACCCGGTTGGAGGCATTCGCAAAAGGTCCAGGCATATTTTGCCAGCTGAGGAAAATATTAAAAAAAAAAATAATATAAATGAAATGCAAATGTTGGTCGCGATTATTATTCATTTAACAGGTCACATTAAATGCCGGAGTCCACACATACCCATACAGTCAGGCAAAGCCTATAAATATATAAGGACAACAATAATATCGTATACCGTATATTAATGTAACATTTATATAACTTTGAACATAACATAATGGGTAAAATTTGATCCCGTTCTTACAGATGTAGTAGCATTGAAAAACGGAACGACAAGCGTCATCCCTCACTCAATTCGGTCTTAAATGGACTCAAAAAGTAAATCTTAGTACATATATAATACCCAGTATTACATTGCGGTGTTGGACATAAATAGTTTTCTTTCGCGATGTTGTGTGAACTTCGAAGGGGAAAATATCTTATGGAAAAAAGTGTTTACAATGCGATCAAGATCTCAAGAAATCTAATTTATCTAGCATGAACTTAAAATATGCACTTACAGCTATCAATGTTTGGGTGATACACCGGTGTAATGAATTTAAAGGATGGTGGTCGAAATGGATACTGCTCCCCAAACGATATAGATATTTTGAAAATTCCCTCCTCATAAGGTGAACCTTTCGGGCCGGGCACAACAGCTTCTAGGTTGTTTTCACTTACAATTGTGCATTTAATTCCTAATTGACATGCAAATTTATATTTGTATAGTTTTACACTAAATGAGCAAATTACATACCATGATTTTTATACGAAAGTTGCAATTGGTGAACCTCCTTGGGTATTCTCATCTTTTTGATCTTATCGTTATTCATACTTGTAAAAGCGCGAAAAACTACTGGCAGTTTAGAACTTCAAATGTATTTTATTTTTTATTTGACCTGTTCCCGTACTGCATGAATCTACTATTTTAACTACGACAACAAAGTTTCCTTTATTCTAGGTAACAGCAAGTCCCAGCTGATTTGATTCCAACGTAATACTAGTGTCAATGTGAATTTGACAAATTATGTTTTTAAAAATCACCCAACAGGAAAATTGGGAACGCATACAATTTGAAATTATTCTTTATTAAATGTGCTCCCGTATTCAATTTACTCAATCAGCCTACTGGGAAAGTTTGAGGAAGCAAATCATTTTTCATGGAATAACTCGCAATTCCCTGCATTTTCATATGTGTTACACATATAAGTGGCAATGGCTTAATTATAGGAAAGATGTGGAAGCGATAGAAATATAAATTTGATAGATTTTTGATTTTTCTGTCAAAAGACACTGACACTAGTAAAACGTACAACAACAAATTTCCATGTGGTTGTTGTATCGTTTGTTGTACAACAACACTTGCTGTTACCCTGTATTATTAGGTTCGTTCGTTTACTCAATAATTTGTACGAATTTGTACAAATTATTACAAAATGTTGTTCTTTTACCCAAAAGTCCAGTAAAAGAGAGTGAATTGAGAGAGCAGATTTGACAGTTGTGTTACTGAGTATTTGTAAATTCTTACAAGGAAATTTTACTCAGTAAGAATTTTCTTGTACCATCAGCTGATATTTAATCAGCTGTTTTGTTATGTTTTGTAAACAAACAAAAAAATGTTCTCAAGAAAATTGATTGTTTTGTGAATTTTATTTTGATTTTGTATCATTAAATACCAAAATGGATGAAGAAAACGCAAGTACTTAAAAATTTGGTAATACAAGAGTAATTGGCGAACGATTTTTTAGGTTCCAAATCCAAACAAAAAAGTGTGCATCCCTAATGTCTGGAACACCATCGGTTATGTCCACCCCCATATCAATTGCAAATACAGGAATAACAGGTATTTATTTCAGTTACCGGTCACAACCCTTTTAAATGTTTGTGGGGAACAAACAACATCAATTTTCCGCTTGTTATCCATTTTTCTAATAAAAATGCTCTTTTTTAGTTTGCGCCAATTTGTTTGTTGTTTTAATCAGCTGTGTCGAAACAATCTTTTTACTGGATGTTGTTCGTTTACTTTTTGCAGTTTTCTCTCTTGAGAAGGAAAAATTCGTATTTACTCTCTGCAAATTCTTACTGAGTAAATATTAGTGGGAAAGTAAACGAACGAACCTATTATACCATGAGGTGATGTATTAAAACAAAAACATTTGTTTTTGTCTCGATTATGGTGTTTTTACACGATATGTATTTTACATATGTGCTGTCACTTTTTTACATATGGAAATCGAACTCGTCATGTGAAACATACGGAAATTTCAATGTGTCAAAACGATATGCAATTACATATGTATTTTTTCCGAATAGGACTCGCTCTATTTTCGTATGTGAAACATAAGGAAATCAGCTGTTTGAATGAAACACATTGTTGGAAGAAAATATTTCAATTGGAAGTCAAAGAAAAGGATGAAAAGGCAACAATTACAAATTATTATTTTGTTTGTAGGTGTTTAATAAAAAAAATTATGTTGATTTAAGAAAAAATAAAAGTGTTTTTTTGGTTTATAGGTTATGCCATATGTAAAATACATATGCCGATTTGAACACAAAAATAAATGTTTTGTGTACGCTGCTAATTTTGACACACATAAGGAATTACACATGATGCAATAATAAGGAGATGTATACCAACAAAAAATAATATTTCAAATGGTTGGCAACACTGCACATCGAATTCAAGTAGAAATTACCCACTTTGACAGTTAATCAAGACATCAGCTGCGCTAAATGGACTACCTATTCATTGTGCCAAGGAATTACATATGGATGAAATAAGTGACAGTACATATGTAAAATACATATCGTGTAAAAACACCATTATCTGTAAAATTTGTCCTTATAATAGGTTCGTTCGTTTACTTTCCCAGTAATATTTACTCAGTAAGAATTTGCAGAGAGTAAATACGAATTTTTCCTTCTCAAGAGAGAAAACTGCAAAAAGTAAACGAACAACATCCAGTAAAAAGATTGTTTCGACACAGCTGATTAAAACAACGAACAAATTGGCGCAAACTAAAAAACAGCATTTTTATTAGAAAAATGGATAACAAGCGGAAAATGTATGTTGTTTACCAATACTTGCGCTTTCTTCATCAATTTTAATGTTTAATAATACAAAATCAATATAAAATTCACAAAACAATCAATTTGGTTGAGGACAATTTTGTTGTTTGTTTACAAAATATAGCAAAACAGCTGATTAAATATCAGCTGATGGTACAAGAAAATTCTTACTGAGTAAATTTTCCTTGTAAGAATTTGCAAATACTCAGTAACACAACTGTCAAATCTGCTCTCTCAATTCACTCTCTTTTACTGGAGTTTTGGGTAAACGAACAACATTTTGTAATGATTTGTCCAAATTCGTACAAATTATTGAGTAAACGAACGAACCTAATATTTCACATGGTTGGCAACTTTGCACATGGTCACGACAAAAACAAATGTTTTGTTTTGATACATCACCTTATTATTGCATCATGGCAATACTGTATATATATATACTACAGTATATTTGCGGGATGGTATCATTAGGCCCAAAAATGTTGAGAATGTTTACTCGTGTTTTCTCATGCAGAATACAGTCTCGTCCGTATTATCATTTTGCGAAATATCCAAAAAATTTAAGTCGAACGCCAATAAAACAGCTAACATCATCAAATTATGTCAATAACGGTAGCTTGTTGTTCCAACCCTGCAGACTGAAAAAAAGCATCAGTGGAGGCGATGCTAACAGCAAAATAAAAGTGGTATGGAATACTATCTTTGGAAAATACTTGTTATTAACAAATGTTGTGGGATCTGGCATACTAATGGTAATTGGCGATGTTGCGGCACAAGCAATCGAACAACGTCGAGAGCACAGCACTGTCCAGGGATATGACTTTGAACGAATTGGTCGGATGTTTGTTGTTGGTGCCTTGCAGGGCCCTCTCCATCATTACGTCTACAATTGGATGGATAAAGTAATGCCCGTAGCCAATTTGGGGAATGTTGTGAAGAAAATTCTTATAGACCAATTGTTTATGTCGCCAATGTGCATTTTCATATTTTTCTATTCGGCTTGTTATCTAGAAAAGAAAACATTGAAAGAGACCAACGATGAGTTGCGCGAGAAATTTTTATTTATCTACTGTATGGACTGGCTGTTGTGGCCCGGTGCCCAATATATCAACTTCCGTTACTTGGATACAAAATATCGCGTAACATTTGTTAATGTTTGTACGGCATTATATAATATTTTCATGTCATATGTTAAACACGATTATTGAGGTACTTTAGATGAATAGCATGAGTTAAGATCTATGTATTTCCATTGACCAGTACAACCAGTTCACCACCTTAGCGTGGTTTAAAATTTAAGTTCGTATCGAAATTAGGCAAAATGTAACGAAGTACCTTTACATTCTAAGTCACTTATCAAATAGTCGTTAAGGAGAAGCACACACACACATACGTATAATTGTTATAATTGTAAATGTAGTTTAAGTTTTATTTACATTGGACTTTGTGTTATAGTTAAGTTAAAATTGGTTCACCTCCACATCAAATAAAAAGTGCATCAGACGCATATGCTCCTGACTTATGAAATTAGCTAAAAGCAAGGTTGCGTTCTCATTGCAGCGTGATAACTGTTGTTTAAGTATTGTTCGAATATCATCTCGTACGCCTTTGTTGTCTGTGCCACGGGAACGTCGGGATGCTGGCGCAGCATTTGTATCAGACGGCGAGAAATCAAAATTTAAGTCTTCGTTGAGTGAATTACATATGGACATAAATTCTTCAATGAAATCAACGGTTACCATGAATGCTGAGAAATTGTGGAAAGTGAAATTTCTTCTCGTTGCTATTATGGAAAATATCTGTTCAGCCAGTTCCTTCTCTCGCGGATATTCGAGTTGCAGCAAGATTAACAAATCGCCCAATACCTCATCTGGACAATTTGGCTCATAAATACGACGCTAGTCATAAAACATGAAAAAACAAGTAACGATATTAAATACATTTTCACTAATTAGGTACTTATAATTACTTACACATAAGTTGGTAACTATTGCTTTGCAGCAGTATTGAAGAAGAGCCTTCTGTGTCAAAGGTATGAAAATCATATGTCGGGCAACTTTTAACGTCAAGTGCTCCAGAAATTGTCCTGGCGTTGAAGGTAGCTCTGCCAATATTTTCAGTATACACTCAAATCCTTCAAACTAAATAAAGATACCAGAGAATAATAAATCGAAATCGCAATGTGATGCCCTTTAGAAATATACCGTCAGTTTGCCTTGCAGCAAATTTAATCCTAACTTCAAAATATGGTGTACCAGACTACTTTTTATAGTCATCTCAAGCATTAGCTTCTTTGCTTCTTCCTGATGGCCGAAATATATTGCCAAGTCGAAGAGGAATCTGGAAATCCATGGCGATAGAGGCAGTGTTAAAAGAAGTTTACTGAATTCTCGTTGGAATTGTTCAGTGTTAAGCAATTGCCAGCACTGTGCTGCATGGACAAAGGCTTTGGATATGTCTTTGCTAGTTGGTGTTGTCAGAGAAATTTGAGGTGGTTCCATTTGTGTATCGGACCGTTCTACTTTCCAATCGCTAAAACCCTCAACTAAAACATGATTGATTTCCCCTTCTTCAGGACGGGTATTGCAGTTTCTTATGTAACAGTGCAAGGAATATATAAATAGTGTTGTTGCGTAAAAAAGTACTTGAGTACTGCCTGCTGGACTTGTCGAAACAATTTCAATAAGCTTGTCCCAATAAACATTCTGACCCCTACAAATGGAAACGTGGAAAATATTTACATTTTTTGAAACACAAAAATTGGTTTACCGACATACCAAGATTTGTTGAAAGGCAGAAATGCTTCCCAACGCTGAATTTTGCCGCATAACATCAACACTTGGAATATCTTCTTCCATATATCAGTGGTATCACATTTCACTTCTTCTAAAATCTGTCGAATGTAATACTCTAGGGATATAGTAAAAAGTCGGCATACTAAATTGGGGTTTGTACCTAGATCTGGCGTCTTGTGATAAATTAACGGCAATGCTTCCTCAACCAACATTTCCTGGTACTTTTGAGGATTCTGCTTCATTCCATCGGCTATCATTTCCAAAAGGCGGGGCTAGAAAACGAGAACGATGAAAAATCAATTGAATACATGAGGGCATAGTGTATAATTACAGAATGTGTTACAGCTGCCTGAGGGAATCGCTTAAAAACCAGCAACAACAATTTACATTGATTCAAACTATTTTCGGTGTTATTGACAGTCATCATGAGAATTTTGTGTTGTACTTCGTAGGAAACATGTTGAAACATTTTGACGTAGAATTCCTGCTGAGAAGTAATTTCGTTTTCATTTTTCAATGCGTTAGTCAATTCGGCAATTTCCTCTTCCAGTAGTTGTACGTTAGGATCCAGTACGTTTAGTATTCTACAATGAGTGTATATATTAGGTATGCTCATCTTGACATAGTCCTTTACTTACATATAACTAAAACATTTAGCCGCTTCTTCAAAATTATTTGCTTCTTTTTCCAACTGGTAGGCTTGGAACTAGAATATAAGACTTTGTACGTGAAATTGACCGAAAAGGGCAAAACTTCGAACAAACCTGTACATTGAAGTTGTTAGGATAAAGTGTTTTGGCAGTAATGATCCATGCCTTTGCCGATGCCGGATCGGTCTTTTTTAACTTAATCGCTTGTTCTATAATATATGATTCGTCCATCACAATACTGATGGGGATAAGTAAATTGACTTTGGACTACTCGATTAATCGGCTGATCTTTGATTATATACTTATTTTTTAGATATTTATACTTTATATTAAAATAAAACTTTCAGTTTATTTTCACTCAACAGAACCAGAGTCTGTGTTTTCGTTCGGTCGTTGAGTTGAAGTAAAAACTGAAAAACGTTCCACTTCCTAACGAATGGGGAAGAAGACAAACCGGCCGATCAAAAAGAACTCAAAGGATAACGAAATATTTACGAATGAGGTGAGATGGAGACTGCATGAGAACACACACAGTCACTGTCCGTGTGTATGCCACCAGTGTTGCGTCGTTTCAGGATTGCACGCTAGTGTATGTACAGTGTAGGGTTCGTATGATACATTGTTGTACGAATGGATGGATGGCTGCTACCATGGCACAATGAATAGGTAGTCCATTTAGCGCAGCTGATGTCTTGATAAACTGTCAAAATGGGTAATTTCTACTTGAATTCGTTGTGCAGTGTTGCCAACCATTTGAAATATTATATGGAAAAATTTGAGAGACAAAAACAAAGGTTGTTGTTGTGATACATCACCTTATTATTGCATCATGGCTGCTACAGCAGTTGTTGACGGATTTCGGGATATTTTATATACTCTATTTCCTATAAATTTTATTCAAATAAACCTTTTTCCTTTGCAAACGTAGTTTCATTTATAACCATTATATATGGTTATAAATTGCCCAAAAATTACACATTCCAGAACTTTATTTTGTATGATGACAACAATTCATATTAAAAACATTTTTAGTCGATTTTACATCAGTCAGTAAAAGTCGAAAATCGATTTCGAATAGGTTTGAAAAATCGAAAAGTCGACTTTTTAGTCAAAGACAAAAATCGAGAAGTCTAAAATTCGACTTTTGATTCGTCTAAATACCACAAATTCATGGTATAATAATAGAAGGTAACAGCAAGTGTTGTTGTACAAAAAACTATACAACAACCACATGGAAATTTGTTGTTGTAAGTTCTACTAGTGTCAACTCATTTGACAGAAAAATGTAAACAAACAAACAAATTATCATCAAATTATTTTTATTTTGAAAATGAAATATTTTCGAATCCTCAAAATAAAAATTGAAAAACATGAATGAAAATCTTTCACATTTATATTTCTATCGCGTCCACATCTTTCCTTTAATTGTGCCATTGCCACATATATGTATAACACATATGAAAATGCTGGGAATAGCGAGTTATTCCTTGAAGAAAGATTTGCTTCCTGAAACTTTCCCAGCAGGCAGATTGAGTAAATTGAATACGGGAGCACATTTAATAAAGAACAATTTCAAATTGTATGCGTTCCCAATTTTCCTGTTGGGTGATTTTTAAAAACATAATTTGCCAAATTCATATTGACACTAGTATTACGTTGGAATCAAATCAGCTGGGATTTGCTGTTACCTTTTATAATTGTACCATGCCACAAACTATACAATCGTAACGACTTGACAGGATTCATTTCCAATATTAGTTTTGTCTGTTTACTAGATATTTGGTAACAATTGTTATGTACAATTGTTTGGTACAATTTGTTCATATTGTTGTTGGATTGTTATGCCAAAGTCGTATACAAAATGTGAGACTGTATTTAATGTTTTGAAAAAATATAAAAATATATATTCTAAAATCCATTTGTTTAAAGATAAGTTTTACAACATTGCTTTGAAGAAATTTATGATTTGTAAATAAATCAATATCTAAATCATATTACCAACTCGATTTTGAAAAGAAAACCTGGCATTCCATTCATTTTTGGCATTTGTGTATACATGTCAAATAAATCCTCATAGAGTAGTTTAACGCGGTAAAAAAATTCTAATGTAATTGCCGATTAACGAAATCCAGAAATACCCCCTAATTGTTTACATATACCGTTAATCATGATCTAAATGCCGATCAGCTGATGTTTTTTACTATACATACAAAATTATTAATTTGCGCCAAAAATATTTGTTTGCCATTTGAAAATGAAAAGAAGATTATAACAGTGGAAATGTTTTTGAAATGCTGTGGTCGTTTAGAAAATAAAAAAACAACCTAAAAACACAAAAATTCTGTAAATAATTTTTATTTTTTTTTTAATTTAATTTAATTTATTTATTCACAATAATTTCAAAGTCCGCAGACCACATTTAAGAAATTACCAGTCTACAAATGTCATAATTACACTTATAATAAACAATAACGCGAAAACCTCGACTATAAAATAAAACAAGAAAATCTTAACAATCACGATAACAATTGCGGGCCAAGAATAATACATGTACATTTCACTAACTTGACAAGCAATACTAGTAAAAGTAGTAATTATTCACAGAAGCCCAAACAAAAATTTTGACTGCAACTAAGATTCTACTCGAAGATCGAGCGGAAATAGCTTAATATATAAAAAATAATAAAAAATGTTTTTTTTTCCTTTGATCTTCCATTTTTGTATTTGGCAACCGTTAAATTTAGAAACAAACAACATGTGAAAACAGTTGCAA